GTTCTGTGCTGCTGTGTGTGTGTGTGTGTGTAACAGTGCTGCTGTCCCTCCCTCCACTCTGCATTCTAAATGATTGACAGACCACCCACTAACATTTTCGTCCAGTCTCGTCTCATCAGTGAAAACTCACGTTTCGTCACGTCTTAGTCATCAAAGAGCTATGTTTATTTTGTTACCRTCTCGTTATTGTYATGAAAAAAGGGGGTGTCAACGAAAATATTTTGTCATCGTTTACGATAACAACACTGTAAAACAATAGCAAAATAACGCAATATGTGTGGCAAGTCATTTTTGAACTGATTTTATGTTTTACTTACCTTAATTTTATCTTCAACAGCTTGTAGTTAAGTGTCTTGGGCATTCATAGAAATGTTTTTTGCCCGATTTTAGCCAAGATTCTGACATTTCTGTAGATACCACATGTGTATGTCTAACAAAACAACTTATAGGAATTAAAGTAGAAAACCAGTAGTTTGAGTTCAAGAGATTAATGAACCAATTGGTGGGCCGCATTTTGGTCACCAGCGGGCCGCCAGTTGAATAGCCCTGCTCTAGTGTTTAACTCTGTTCTCGATGTCGAACAGCCGGGATTTTTGACACGTGAGTGTGTTATAGACAGAGGCGGACATATTTTTATCTTATTTTATTTTATTTTTTGGGATGGGGCGGGGGTTCCTCTGTAGAGAAAATAGRAAAAACTTGTGAAAAGTTGCTGTGCAGGGCTTCACTTTTCACATAAAAAACATCCAGGGAGATATTATAACAGTTTTTCTGCAAGAGCAAGAAGGGAGAAATGTTAAGAGACCAGAGAGGCATGCTGTGTGGTTCTGCCTCTGCAGAACTCTCTTTAACTTTAACTCWCTTTAAAACACACTAAAACTGACTAAACTGAAGACTAAACCCTCTAAACCACACCCTAACTATAAAATCCAAACATGTTAAATGTCTCAGATTCAAAGTCATACACTAATGTATGACTTTGACTTTCTACTTTAACAGAACAGTGTATTGGGGAAACTGCATTTGCTAACAAAACAACAACATTAAAATAAAGCAGACTGCATACAGCAGCCAACATACCCCAGAGCAGAAGAACCAAGCTTTCACTGGTTTCCCAGCTGAAGAACCAACGCTTCTACTTGATTAAATAAACATGATTTACACAGGGTAATATACCAGGGCTTTAATYTGCAGCTGCAACCAGCGTGCAAGGATGAATAAATAAAAATTACACAATCGAAGCRGATCACAGATGGAAAAAATGAATGATTTTAACATCTAGTGGAAAATAAAGTCTGCAGTTTTACTTTTACGTGTCACCTTCAGTCATTTTTATTTCTTGACTCCAGTCTGAGATGCTGCTGCAGCACCAGTCCAACCCGTGCATCGTGGACAACGCAGGGAAATCTCCTCTGGACCTGGCATGTGAATTTGGCAGAGTTGGGGTAAAAAGCTTTGTGACTTTGTTACTAAAAAGAAAAAAAAATGTTGATAAGTAGATGGAATGCGTTGCTGATGTGCTCCTTTRTGTGTGCAGGTGGTCCAGTTGCTGCTCTCAAGTAACATGTGCGCTGCTTTGTTGGAACCTAAAAAGGGAGACACAACCGACCCCAATGGGACGTCTCCGCTCCACCTGGCTGCCAAGAATGGACACATAGACATCATCAGGTACATGTCCACCCCCCTCTACACACACACACGCACACACACGCACGCACACACACACACCATTAGTTTAAATAGCCCTTCATGATGTGTCTATACATCCACACTCTGCTCCATTTTTGTCCCACTAAAGTTATTATAAGCTCATCCCAACAGGGAAACAATCAAATTTTTTCTTTCTGTTTTTGAATAAAAATCCATAATGGCACTATCGCCACAGGGTCGTCAATATTCAACAGAAAACTTGTGTTAAAATATCCCAGCAGACTAATGTTTGGCTGCGGCTAAACACACAGAAAAGCCCACTTCTTGCCACTCTGCCACAGTGAAAAATGAGAGAGGATATGAGAGAAGAAGAAGAAGAAGAGAGGGAGATTAAAGTCTGTCAGGGCTGATAGAGCAGAACGTGCTTTTCAAGAAGTGACACTGATAAATGATGCTCAGTAGTTGTGGCTAACAGGCTGTGGAACACACACACACACACACACACACACACACACACACACACACACACACACA